AATTAATTATTCTAGCATTACACTGGATATCCTATCCGCACTTTCCTATTGCCACAAGCGAAATCTGCTACATCTTGATGTAAAGCCACAGAACGTTCTGGTATCTCTCGTTGGCATCGATCCAAAATTACGATACGAAACACAACCGAATTTCTTCTCCCGGCAGCAGTATGTGTGTAAGCTATGTGATTTTGGAGCTTCGCTGAAGATCGATACACCTAAGCCGGCACCCAAAGGCAATGCACGTGTAAATATATATTACCATCACTACTTTCTAATGCTGTATTACTCTATGCACTTTTTCAGGGCACCATGCGTTACATGTCCCCAGAAGCGTTGTGCGAAGAACCGCTTACACCTGCTGCAGACATCTACTCGCTTGGCATTACAATGTGGCAAATGCAACAGTGCCGTTTACCTTACCATTGGATCGCTTGCAATGAAGTAGTCGCCTATCAGGTGGTCAAGAATAAGCTGCGTCCCGATAGTACATTTTCTAGCAATACAAAAAGCGTTGGCAATGATTGCAAAGGCGCTTTGCATTCGACTATGCCATTGCATCATAAATGCCATTGCGCCAACTTGACAGCGGAAGAGATCACCTATCACTCATTAGTGCATCTTACAGATGTACTCAATCGCACCAAACAACCCGAGGAACACTTACATTTCTCCGATTGTGGTGTGGATGAGGCGCCTCAGACGATTAGGCGTCGTCCATTCGCCTCATTAAATTCAAAAATGAATGTTATGCGTGATCTGAGTGCCGAGTTGAAGTGTAGTAAGTCGCCGATTGCTCAGCGTTCACCATTGAAACAACTAAAATCACTCGAACAACAACAACAACAACAAAAGCAGCGCACGAAAGGGGATATTGGCGATCTGTTGGCGGTGTTTGGAAATATTTTGGGCCAACAGGATGGCGACAAGGAGCAGAGCTACGAAAAGCTTTGCAGATCTTGTTGGCACGATGAACCGATTATGCGACCATGCGCGAAAGAGTTACGCAAAAAATTAGTTGAATTGTTGAAATAAATGTTTGTTGAAAAATTTTTACTTTATGATAGATCCCAACTGTATTAAACCTAAGTTATTTTAATTATGCCTTTTTTTAAATTTTATGGTTTTATTTACATTTTTTAAAAAGCTCACTAGTTAATATATGTAAGTAGTACTTTTCTATATAATTCTTTAGAACTGTCTTTTTTGTGAAAATGTTTAATTAAAGGGGAATAGTATGCAGAAAGCATTAAACCTTTGCTGCTAAAATTATTTTGATAAAAACTGTAAAACAAACATTAACACGTGCACCATAAACGCGCCAACTTAACTAAACCTAACCAAATTAACTATTGAATTGACACCTTCATGTACTGCCACCGATTTTCACGGGCGTTTGGGTCCAAATGGTCAGATTTTCAAATAATCTGCTCCATAGATATGAACGAATTTGAAGATGGTCCGGGTTATGTTCACTGAAGCAAGAATGCAAGAAGAGGAAATTTTACAAGAAAAAACGTAAACATGTTGCACAAGTGGGACGTCATACAAACAGCGTTTCTGTCCAATTCACTGGAAGAGGGAAAGCGGTACGAACCTTTGTTCTCTTCATCTCTGACTATAACACAGAATAATGGGCGAAGCAAGCCCACTTTAAACTGCCAAAAATGCATAAAAAGAGCCCTTTACGGATAAAGGACTTTCCAGGCGATCTCTTGGAAATAAAAATCAAGGAAATGAAAATATATTTGACAACTGAAGCCGGCTCACAGCATAGCATTAAAATAGCATGAAATGGATCGAGAACACAAAAGCTACGAGGCCAGCAACTTATTGTAGAGATAGTGGATCAAATTAAAGAAAAACGTTGGTTTTATTGAGACCGCAAAGTGGACTACGAATTATTGTATACACATGCGTTCAGAAAATGTCAAAAAGGGTTTACGTTAGGAATCAGTGCATAACGTTAGGAATTATGATTGCAATATTTTACAACTCTAGGACAACTAGAAAATGGTGGTTTTTTCTGGCGAAAAATTTAATTTTGATGCCTACAACTGATCTAATAATAATTTTCACGCTTTCTGAAAGGACGAACGTTGTTTGTTTCCCTTCCATGATCAAGAAGGGAGTGTTTGTCACATATTTTCGCATATTGTTCTTGAATATTCTACCAAAATTGCGCACAGACAATCCATCTGACGATTAAAGTGGTAGGCCGGGAGATGTCCTTCATTTTTCAAAACGTCTCTAGAACTGTTTACCGGCATGCTTCGATACATGGGAATTGAGGATGTGTTAAAAGTGTTATATAGAATAACTAAAATGAATGGTGAACATTTTTGGGCTCAATGTAGTCCTTTCCGTCTGTTGAAGCCACTGCGCTTATTCAATTGAATAAAAATAATAAATTTACCACCCTATTATGAATTTCCATACGACAGACGATAAACGCATGCAAGCGTATCGTATGAAATTAATTTTCGTATTATTCTTTTCATATGCCCGACAGATGTATTACTTTAAATGTCAGTGGTTCTTGTTCACTTTTAATCGTTAACCGACACAAATCAGTTACGCTAACTATTGGATTTGCTTCGGCAAACATCGGTTCGTAATAGGGGATAACAGAATGCAAGCGTTTATCGTGCCTCGTACGAATTCATAATAGGCGGATAATTGTTTTATGCAAATACATATCGTCGTTTCAAGTACAAAACCGCGTATCAACAAAATGCAAAACCGCTTATGTGAGGATGCATGAATTATTTTCTAGAGAGTAAAAACTCTCATATTTCAAAATGTTTCTATTTTTTATAAAGCAAATGCATTTCTGGCGAGTATATTTCAGGACGAATGGATAAGCCAATGTCAGTTACGCGGTTTTGCAGAATGACGATGCGCGGTTTTGTACTTTAAACGTCGATATGTAGTTTGATAAAAAGTGGAATAAAATCCAAAGTAATCAAAGTGTCTTCTTTATTTTCACCACATTTCTTCGAAATTCAGCATTCTTAAAAATGAGAAGCTTCTCCGATGACCACAAGTCTAGATATAAGCTCAGATCTTGAGGAAAAGACGTGTAACTATTCAAATGAAACGGAGTATACTTTCATTGTGCGTTTCTCAGAACAGACCAAAATTGATCATCCTGTTCTGACTAAATGAGAAAAGGCGGATTTTCCGCTCGTGTCCGGATACATTTTGTTGGTAATCTTATACGTTGTTTTCCCACTCTGTCTCACTGAGAGCGCAACAAAAAAATGTGCTTAACACCCTTTGTTTGAATCAAATTGGTTTAGATTTTCTGTCCTAACGACTTCATGATTGACGTTGCAGCTTTCTCTTTTTTAAGCGTTTGGTAGCTAATTACATGTATTATCCCATGGTATGTCAAAAATTAATAATAATGCATTAATGTAATAAATCAGAAAATATTTCGGTGCTATAATTATGCTCGGGACTCATCAAGATATTGAAAAACTCATAGATTATTTTTACAAATTGTACATTTCATTTTAGATGCCGTATTCGTTATTCTGTTTAAAACTTTCCCGTCGATCATAGTTAGGAGAAAATCATACTTTATAGTAATGGTATTCTTATCCTCAGTTTCATAACACTCACTGGAGCTGTTGAAGACTCTTTTCATATTTAAACAATATTGGGTGGCACAATTTAACTGATGAAGGCCGCAGCCTAATATAATACGAGGCTCTCGATTTTGCTGCTGGTTGGTATGAATCAGAATATTTTTAATTATGAATTTTTGAATTATGATTTTTGATAACTTTAATTATGAATTTTTGAATTATGATTTTTGATAACTTTTAATAAATTCTAGTGGAAGTTTTAAGTTGATAAAATCTCGCATTGATTTTTGATAACTTTTTTTTTTACTGTATTGCGCCTTTTTTCCATACAAAAAATTTTCGAATTTACTCTGCAAGGAAGAAAATGCGTTAAGAAAAGTTGCCAAAAATCACCGCGTTTTATTAACAACGAGAGCTAACAAAATCGTGCTTGGAGATTTTAATACCAAGGTGAGCAAGGAAAGGATATTTGGCGCGACTGTCGGAAAATCCAGCATCCAAAGAGAAAGGTCCGATAACGGACTGAGCATAAACTATCTGTCACTTTTAATGGTATAACATAAAGCCCTTTTAAAAAATGGGCCTAAAAGACCCGTTACGTTAAAAGCTACAGGGTTTAAATATTTTACAGAAAAATTGCTCGTCAATTCGACTGAGGACAAAATTTATAATCAAAGCCGTTTTATACATATATAATATTTCGGATAAATTAATTCCATTTTTAAACAAAATACGAAAACTTTTTTTTAACAGCGGTCGCCCCTCGGTAGGCACTGGCAAACCTCAGAGAATATTTTTGCCTTGAAAAGGGCGTCTCATAAACCATTCGTTAAATTGTAAGTCGTACAGTCGCAAAAGTATAGGCGCTAAATACTTATTATTATATTATGCAGTAAAACAACCAATTTTTCTATAGTTCATTATTATTATAAATTTTATTTTCCATTTTCATTTCTTGAATGTATTTATTGTGTTTTCATTCTTCATAAATGCTAGTTTTTAATATTTTATAAATAAATATTTAATGTATACATATAAATAGAAATAAGAAATATTTTAACAGAAAAAAGTGATAGAAGTAGTGTTAGATATCTAGTATACAAATATGGGGTAGTATTTAGTAACTAACTACACTGAGAAAAACTATGCGTATTCCCTACAAATATATAATACATTACAAAATACGCACTAAATCTAAGATCTTTAACGTCGCTGCTACACTAAAATATTTATGTATATGTAGGTAGTAGTAATTACTAATAACTAATTAATTATTAACCCATACAAATCTTAGGCTGATAGTAGTGATAGTAGTAGTAGCAAATATAATATAATTAAGTATAGCAATTTAGTAGTAGTTTTGTTTAACATTTTGTACTGACTACGCTACTAAGAAAAAGGAAGAAGTGAGGCATTTTTTTCGCGGCAAACATGACATTGCTTGAACACAAATACTACTATGTCCGCATAAATATCTGCCAGCGTAGTGAAATTATTAGTTTCGCAAGTGGTTGATTTGCTGTTTATTTCGTTGCCACTAAAAATAACTTTTTTATAACGTATCTGCATACTATCTATGTATACTTGTAAATAATTATGTATTATTTATTTTTAATACAAACATACATTCAAACGCATGTATGTATAAGTTTATGCTATTGTATATGCTTAAATAATACATATGCATTTGCATTGTTATTGTTTATTATATATTGTTTCCAATTGCATCATAAGTTGGAAGTTAAATTCCAAGGGGAGTTCACGATTTGTAGGATTACATTTAAAATGTTACAAATCGGGAACTCCCCCATTGTAAGTGCACAACAAAATACAACGCTGTTTGCTTGGTGATTAGTAAAGTTACATATGTAGAATATTGCCATTTTCAAAGTGTCTGAATGCGATAATGGGTCTTTGTACGAGCTCTCGACGATATTTAACGAAAATATGAAGTATGTATTATGTTAAGTTTATATAAATAAAAATCATTTCGAATATTTCCAGATATTGGAATAATCATCAAAAAGCACGAAAATTTCAAAACTTTGACCGAAATCAGTGGCGTAGCTTGGCTACTGAGCGCCTGGGGCATATTCCTTCCACACACACTTTTTTCCTAACAGTCAGTGTTACGTCAAGGTATCAAAGGTATCCTTTTTTTCGACCAACACCAGCGGTTTATATTCGAAACTGTAAATTTAACTTAGAAAATGTTCACAATGCATATAAATATAAGTATCAGCAATGACGTTTATATTCCTCTACAGTCTTGCAAAGTCCTGCCAATGATATTCAACGCAGTGATACTGAAGCATACCACAAAACTCAAATATGAGGGCTAAAATATACGGTGGCGAAAATACAAATACGGACGGACATTTTGACAAGTTTTCAAACAAAAATGAGGAAAATTCGACACATTTTAATAGAATTGCATAAAATTTTCAAATTGTTTAATACAAATTTTTAGAAAAATTTTGCTATACACTTTTATAGCCTATTCAAATTAAGAGTAATAAAGGGCAAGTTTAAAGTGTCTACAAAATACTGTTGATTTTTGGCAATTTATTTTTTGACGGTGCTACGCATTTTTTCCCATTCAAAGTAGATTTTTTTTACTTGTATGAAGAAAATAAGCAACACCTTAAAAAAAAACTCAAAAATCAACTTTAAGTCCTAGCTATTTCAAAATTGCACTTAAACAAAGAAAGAAGAAATATAATTAAAAAGTTTGAATTTTCCATGAATCTTTGCAGATTTTCCTTATTTTTGTACAAAGTTCGGAATTCGCATTTACATGGCTTTTGTTAGATAACGAGCCGTATATAAAAAATAAACATTAAATAAACAAAAGAAAAATAGCCACATCTTTAAAACGTGCCGTTTTCGCGCTTTACAAATGTGAGAAGTTTGGTAGAATATAATCCATAATTCTCGCCTGTAATGAAAAAAATTCAGCTTAAATATTTCCTGATTGCCTTCGATTGAAAAAAAAACAAAACAGAAGTTGTCACTGAAGCTATCAGAAATAAGCAGGACGAATTAATACCTACTACGAAAAAAACGCATCAAGGCAGGATAAATTTTTAATGAATTAAATTTTTTATAAGCTATGTATGAATGGAAATTTTTACCCGTTATGCAAATTTCAATAAGCTTGCTGAGTGCAAAAAATAGGAAGAAAAATGGATTCTTGACCGATAAGATTTTGTTATACGGGTACATACATTTCCTTGATGGTACTGGAAACCTACAGAACCTTAGCCGCAGCTGTGATGATATTTTTGACAATAGCAGTTTCAGTTGCATTGTGCCCATTCTGCTCAAAACCTAAATTGATCGAATCTTTCTTCGAATACCCGTTGAGTCTAAGGAGACTTAAAAATTTTCAAGTCTTCGATTTTTTCTAGTTTTCAAGTTTATGGGGATCGCCCAAAATATTAGCAAACATACTTTTGTTTAAATTCATTTATCTATTTGTCAAACTCTGTAGATCCGATATAAAAGTACAATGTTGACTATTCTTATTTTTAACCGACTTCAATCCATATTTCTTTTTATATACATATTTTAACGGAAGTGTGGTACCTCAAGGTGGTGCCAAACTAATTGGGTTTAGTTCCGATCATTTTATTAAGAAGAAATTAACGGTACTCGAAAACTTTTAGTCAGCGTTGAAGTCGGTTGTGTTTTTTGCTTAAAAAATACTTGTATCGTACCACTTTCAATTAGAAGTCATCATTAAACTCTGCACTCTGGAGGCAGTAACATTACCAGTTAAGAGCCGCCCAGCACTTCAGACAATTGTATTTTGACGCATCGAAAGCTACGTTTTCTATAGTTTATTAATTTTGTATTTAATGTTCAATTTATATTGATGCTTTGTTTTTATTTATCCACTTTCTCATTCTCATTTTATACGTACAAAAACTATGAGGGTGAACCGCCAACAATTTACCTGGTATATTGTATACTTTTATTATGTATTGTTTAGAAACCGTTATAACTATTTAGCTATTATGCTATTTCCTTCGCTTTCATTTGTGTTTAAAATATTATATTTTTATTTTATATAATTGATTGCTATTATGGGTTTACTGTTCATATTTTTTGAGTAATTATTTAAATGTTTTATTATATGTTATTTATGCTAGCAATTGTATTATCTCATCATCTCATTTTTAGTTCATCTGCTGATTTTAAATACAAAATGTCATATAATTTATAAAAAGTATTTCTTTTGCTTTACTTAACTATTGTATATTTGGGATCAGTGAAGTTTTATAATATGTGATGTTTTTGTTTTATTTATTTTTATTTGTCTTTATTTGTTTTATTTCTCTTTTTTTTTGTTTACCAATCATTTTGTGCGGAAGACTACTTAATTTTAATAGTTTACATGACGTGACATAAGATTTTTGTCATACGTTCAGCTACTTGCTTACAACTTCTAATTCGTTTCCTCTCACCTGTTCGGCAATGTTATGCGCATAGAAAATTAATTTCATACTAAATGCTTTATACAAGGAAAAACTGAATTGTTATTTTATAAAGAATTTAGGAACATTTTCACAGTAGAGCCTTAACTCACATTTTACTGTTAATTTTAAATTTTTGTACTGAAAATCTGCAGTTAACTGCCGTATGTGAGTTAACTCACCGCTATGAAAATGGCCTTTAATGTCTCTGTTTTATTAGCTTGTTACATACGTATGTACATTAGTTCGCTGAATATATTTAAATACCTTGTTTATAATAATATTTCAAAATAAGTGTCATATTTGAGTTATATATAATGCTATAGAGATATTCACGATATCGGACACTTTGCATATTATTGTTTAAGGTGAATTTCGCTCCATACACACCCGATTTATAAAGGTTTAATTTATATTCCTCTGGCTGTACGAAGCTTCCAATTTATGTATATCAATTGTCTTTTATTTGTTAATTAAATATTCTTTAATGCTCATTTGTGTGTTTTTAGTTTTTCGTGAATACCCCTTTGCTATATGTATGGTAAGTCATATTATTTAGTTGGAAAACTTCTTGTATTGTACAAAAGAAAATATATTAAATTTTCATTAATGCAATAAAATATTTCAAAATCCCTAAAAAGGTCAGATTACCATAATTATAGTTTATATAAACTAACAGATTACAAACAATTTTAGATTCATAAATTTACATGGTTTTTTGATAAACTCAAATACAATATTGCACGCCAAAGTGCATATTGCATAAAAAATTAATGAAAGTATTATTAACCATATTTTTAATAATGATTTTTATTTTTTGCTTCAATTAAACAATCTTCTAGCGGAAGAGCACTAAATAATAAAATATGCGACAAGGAAAGCTAAAAGGAACCTAAGGGTGAAAAACATTGAATTTTTTTTTTACCGATTCATATATATGTATAGTCCTTTTAAGCTGCATTCTCTTCAAAGATGGGCACATTGACAAAGAAATGTAAAAAGTCTCACTAAAAAATGTTTTTCTTAGCCGGAATTATAAAATTGTTATAATATTATATTAAAGTTTCCGTCGAAATACATCGCAAAAATATTAAGATTTACGCGAGCTGGACCGATCTAAAAAATACCTCCAAAAGTCCAATTTTTTTTTTATAAATAAAATTAGTTTGTAAAAACATTTTTTATACTTAATTTTTATTGTCTATTATTTGATGTAATTTTTTAGAAAAACAATTTTCAAAAATTTATTTTATTTATACAAAAATCGATTGTTGCAAGCATTTTCAAGTCGGTCCAGCTCACGTACATCTTAATATTTTTTCGAAATATTTTGGTGGCAATCTTAAAATATAATAAGTTTTATAATTCCGGGGAACCGATTGCCTTTTTGTATGGAGAGTGATGCACCTTAAAGCAGCATTTTCATGAGGCGATTTTGTAAGCTTTCTTTTATAAAAAAAAAAAATAAATATTTTAAGTAATTAAGTTACGAAAAAATGCCTTTTCCGCTTAATAATTAAATCAATATGCACTTTGACGTAAAAGTAATAAATAAATATGCATAAATATTTATATGTATACATTCGGGCATTTTTGTATAATTATACAAAATATTTAATAATTTTAAGAATGCACAGACACACACAACTTTTTTGTACGCACATATATTTTTTTTTTTGCATCAAACTTTGTATTTCTACATACAATACTTATTCAATAGTAATTTCGCTTCGAATATAACCAACGAGTCGCTTCCACTTGGCATACTATCCCGTGTTCCAGCATATAACAAACGATTTTGGAATAAACTGATAAGTATATATATGAGTTGGAAGTTGTATTTGTTACTCCGCTGGCTTTCGCTATTCTGCAACCAAATGTGAGCACTCCCCACCAGTAGGGGGAGTGTGGTGAAAATAGTAGAAACCACTAATCTAAAGTACGATATACATATACATGTATGTATGTATATGTATTTACATGTGTATGTACATATGTACATACTTATAAATATGTAAGTATATCAAATTTTTAGTTGATTGCCAAACTATAAAATACGTTTAATAACTTGTAGTACAGACATTTTGCAGGCAGTGTAAATTTACATTTTACAATTTTCGTAAATTTTTGAGTGGCTAGTAATTTTTACAAACGCTTGCAAAAGTTATACCTGATTTTACTTTTGTGCCAAAATGTTAATAATAAGTAAATGTTAATTTAATAGTGTTATGGTTATTTTGTTATTTTTTTTTTTTGTAGATTAGGCAGTTTATATTTTGGTGTTACGTTTATGTTTCTTCCACACTTCGATTCAGCAATATGTTTGCGTTTTCTGCGGTACTGTTTGTTTACCTTTTTACATCTATTTTGCGTTCTTTTTCTTCGCTCAAATATCACATATAAGTCTTTTTTAATAATTTTGCTTAAATTAATTAACTTTTGGGATTCGTTTAAACCGTAACGGTATATATCGTTTTATAACATCATCAATACTTAATTTTATTATCATTATGTAGCCTTGCATTTCTGTTTTTTAGCTCGCATAAGAACGTCGCACGGGAACTGGTGGAGGAATTTTCGATTTTCGTATCGGTTGTTGTTGTTGCAATTGCTGCTGCTGCTGTTGTTGCGTTTCACCAAATTGTATTGGCGCGCTTTGGTTTTGCTTGGGCGATGGCGGCGACAATTGCTGTTGTACGCTGGTTGGTATACGCGTTGGCGGTATTTTTGGCGTTGCGCAGACACCGTTGCGCACAATCTCCGTTTTCACTTCCTATGGCACAAAAAAA